GGGAACATTAAATACTGAATTTCTGATTTCTTTGAAAAACTGAAAGCAAGTCTATGTATGATAAAGGCAAAGGGTGGGAACATTAAATACTGAATTTCTGATTTCTTTGAAAAACTGAAAGCAAGTCTATGTATGATAAAGGCAAAGGGTGGGCACATTAAATACTGAAAAAGTGCTATATTTAATAGTTAAGGCTTCTGTGTAATTTTCTGTTAAAAACATGCTTCCTGACCTTGAAAAGGGATTAACTTGTATTTAATGGTAATTTTGACTGTAAATTAAATAAATGATGTGTAGTCTCTGACTTTTGCGCAGTACTGTAGTTAACAGTAATATTACCACCGACTGGTTTTTAACAAAATATCAGCATTATGGAAATAACTGATAACTCATACATAATTTCATTTGATCATGTGACAAACTAAGTCTTTACGGTTCATCCTCAGATTGAAGAGGTGCCGGGTGAGTTCACCCAGGATGACTTAGCAGAGGATGACGTCATGCTACTGGACGTCTGGGATCAGGTAAAAAAAAAAATCATACAGTTAATACGACTAAATGTAATGAAACAGGGCATTTATACCGCAACATAGACACCCTTCATCTGGTATGTGTATGATGTGAATAAAACACTGGACTGTTGTGCATTAACATGTGGTTTAAACTCCTAGGTGTTTATCTGGATTGGAAAGGATGCCAACGAAGTGGAGAAAACTGAATCAGTAAAATCTGGTAAGAGGCACATTCATATTAACCACCCCCTTCCAGTAAAATGTACCCCATTAAGCTTGATAATAGGTTTACTTCATTATGAGTATCAAAATGGACCTCTAACAGCATTAGCATGAGCACAAAATGACATTAAAATACATTAAAGATGAAATCATTCCCAGTGTCATAGTGAATAGTAGGTCAAAAAAAAAAAACATAATACAATTATCTTCAGTGTAACAAGAACATGGAGCGTAAAAAACATCAAAGTGAAACACTAGATTCTAAGATCCTTATAGAGATAAGAGATCCAAGGCTTAATAGGCTCAAAGCATAAGAGAGGTAAATTACTATGAGCATGAAGCCATTACTGTTCTTAATGTGATCATAAATTCAAAAGCATATTAAGAATAAACATGTGCCAAACATATGATCTTGTATGTTACTTATCATAATTATTCCACTTCATTTTACATCTTTTTACAGTAGGCCAGCAAGTAGTGACCACTTAAAGGAATGGTTCACAAAAAAAATCTAATTCACACAAATTTCCTTTTACCTCAAACATAGTGGACTGATTGTAACATGTCTGGTGTTTGAACTTTTTTTTGTATAATATAATAGAAGTCTGTTAACCTCAATCAATGTATAATGCAGTCAGTATGAAGTCATACTGTTCAAATAAAATTCCAAGCATCAACAAAATGAGATGATCAATATCAATATCATCAATATCACATGTCAGATGAGTCCCATAGGCAGGATTTCAGTTCGATTTTTGTGTCTGTATGCATATGATCACTGTCATATCAGAACTTCATGACAAATTTTTTACCTTTTACACATTTTAAAAATGATTAAAAATGCGAACACATGATGAAAAAATTTATGATGAAAAGGTAAAAAATTACATTAAATATTGTAGTCCGGTTACATTAACAAAATGAAAGTTAAGAACACGTTTGTCCTTTTCCTATAAAGGTTCAATTTCTGAGGTTTTGTTACAATAGTGACAATATGCATTTAGCAGCCGTCCACTCAGTAAAGCACAGCATTTTAGAAGTGAAAAGAAAGTGAACGATGTCTCACAGAGTGATTTACTCCCCTACAGCTAAGACGTATATTGACACAGACCCATCAGGAAGGGACAAGGGAACACCTGTGGTGATTGTGAAACAAGGCCATGAGCCCCCTACCTTCACAGGCTGGTTCCTGGGGTGGGACTTCTCCAGGTGGGAGACTGACCCAGGACAAGCGCAGTGAAGATGCTGAAGGTCAACCAATGGCTGCAGGAAACTCAGGGAAGTTAGCTGGCAACTTATAGATATGGCACATTTAGTTACATAAAGATACACTTTGTTAACAGAATGCTGCAGCTGAAACATATTTGAAGTTTCATTTAGACATCCATTAGATTTTACTCCCAACCATGCATTGCAGAAATGACATCTTATGAACTGGTTCTGAAATTTATACAAACATTTTATTTTTATTATACCGGTTTTTATTAAGTTCCAAATTTTTACTGAATGTGTATGCGTGTTTTTCTCTATATTACTTTGTATGCATTCTGAAAGCACAACTAATACAATGTTTATGCTTGATAAAATGTGTATTGTCTGTTATTGTGAGACTGTGGGTAGGAAGTAGTTACATTTACTCTGTTGCTTGTGCTTAAATAAAAAAATGGTAGATTTGTACCTTTGTGAGTATTTGAAAATTACTACTTTTAATTACTTAAAATACATTTGTGAGGAAAGCAGAGGAGAGTGAGGAAACACCTAACATGCAGTAACATATGAGAAGGATGTATTACGTAGTTAAACAGATTCAAGGAAAACCTATTTTTGGTCATATTCTTTAATTCTCAAAACAATGTCATCTGTACATTTTCACAGCAATTGTACAGATATTTCTCTAGGTTCACCCTAAAAACTGTTTTTGTGCTATAAAAGTAACCTTCTGATTACTGAATATAAGTCATGGACTTCACACCTATGTTATTTTAATCTCCCTCTTGGTGGTTGTAAACAGGCTCCACACACATGGTCAGGTTAGTTTTAACACAGTGTAACAACTAAGCCTCCTAAAGTAAACAATAAGAGTCAAAAATGTACTATAGATGTCATGTAAAAAATATCTATCTATCTATCTATCTATCTATCTATCTATCTATCTATCTATCTGCTGTTAGCTCTTTTACTTTGTGGTAAAAAATAAATGAAATAAACACATTCTCTTTCACTGATCATTTATATTTTAATTCACATGTTTTCATGTATTTAGGTTGGAAACAAACAACATAGAAATGTATTGAATTTACTGTGTTTTCATCATTTTACCAAAATTTTAGTGCCTGTTACAACAAACCCCTCAGTTTGTTACAGTTAACCCTGCCCACGGGGTAAGTTGTAGCATTTGCACTGATGCTGATTTTGGCTGATTTGTTTGCAAATGGTAGATATTAATCTTGCTCAAATAAGACTTTAAATGTGGTAGGTTGTTCCTGCTGCTAATATACTTTTTCCTATGTTCAATTCAGTCATTCACATTTGGTTCTTAATCCCTTTATTGAGCTTAACTTTACCCTGATGGGTTGGTTCAGCTCCAGGAATGCTTTCCTGTTGTTCACACCTCTAATTTAAGCTTTAGCATCTTATTTGAAACAAAAAGAACAACCAAAAGAGAAGAACAGCACCTAACAAACTTCAGTTCAGCTCATGGATGTATTAAAAAGAGTATCACTGCAGGACTCCTACTCTGCTACTTCTACTTGACTCATTATTTAAAGGAGATTTTTCAAAATAACTGTTTAATTAAATCGCTAGAATACAAACAGTCATTGAGAGTGGTTTGGTGTGAAGTGGTTCATTGTAGAGACTCAGATTTCTTTACAGTGGTGGTGATAGGAACCAAGCGTCATGTCTACAACACAAATGCAGCCATTTATTTACTATCCAAAACCCCAGTGAACCTGCATGTCTTCTGAGTTCTAATATGTAATGTTGATGATGGTAAAATAGTCGAATATCTGAAAAAGAAGATTTCTTTGGGAACTATTCCTTACATCTCTTCATGTACGCCTCCATCAAATAGATTTAAAAATATATGTTTTAGTACCAAAATCTTCCCATAAAACAATGTCTCAGATATCAGGCACTGCATTCATGACCATTTCAGGTAATAAGTTTCTGTGAGGAAGCTTTTAAAGGTGGACGTCTGGTTCCTGTGATCATCTCTGAAAACAGCTGCGAGTCGCCAAGTCTCTCTAGAACAGAGAATTTTACACCAAACCACTCTAAACGACTTTGCTTACATCTTGACTACTTAATTGTGCAGAAACTTTGAAAAATCGGCGGAGCTCCTCTTCAAGTAAAAATATTTTTACTTTAGGCTGGTTTTAGGCTACTATGTGCCCTTTAGTCACTTTCTTTCTTGCTGAACAATCATCTCTGATTAACATTATCTGAACAATCCATGGTGATTAACGTTAGGCGTGTCACTTTTCCAAGAGATTTAATCAAGAACATTTTTCATGTGTCACTGACTCTCACAATCCACCCATTAATGAACTGCTGTCCTACAAGCAGCCCTCAACCGCATGGTGGCGACAGTGGGAAAGAAAAGAGCTGAGGTGAAAAATGGCTCTCCAGCTTCCCTTTCCACTCCAGGTTAAGCCGTGAGAGGAAGACAGTCCGTTCAGTAACACTTTAACTCTTACCAAGGTAATTCAAGGACTGTGTATTGTAGGAGTCATTATAACAGTCTCGACCGCTGCTGCTGTTATTCGGTCGTTTCAAGATGAAACAGCCGCTAATGGCTGAGCGATCCATGTGATAGCCAAGCTCATCAGAAGTGTGGTCAGATGGAGCTGCTGATGGATTAGTGAGACACGCCCCATCCACACTCTGGATGATCCTTGAAAACAAAGCAGTTTTAGCTCATTTTTGTCTTCCATGTGGACAGTTTTTCTTTATTTTCTGCTGCTTCGTCTTAACATTATCTGTGATTTCACGAATCTGCTGTACGTAATCAAAACGTACTTTTTTTATCTTTTGGGAAAAATGCTTAACTGGACCAGTAGTAAAAATATGCGAACAAAACGAACCGAAATGAAATAAAAAAAAGTAATCGTTAAAGCATTTCATCCCCCTCTCCATCTACACTGTAAATCGACAAGTGAAAGGAACAGGTGGTCGGTGGGCGTGTCAGTGGCAGATGATTGACGCGACTCTCCACCAATCAAAACCGCGCCAGCGTGCGGGGAAATCGACCAATCAGCAGCTCCGCTTCGTCGTCGGTTGGACCAGCGGTGCTGTAATGAGCAGCAAGCGGCTTTGCTGTGTCAGTCAGCCGGGGAGAGAGAGGGGAGAACGCCGCGCTCGTCTCACAGGCTCTGAGGGAGAATACAGCGATTTGGAAACACTCATCTTTATGTCAGATGAAATATCCTGTCTCACGGAGAGGGAATTATCGGCTAAGGTGGGTGTCAGCCTCTGTTTTTATACACACCTGTCTCTAAACGTTACTGGTAAACGCCTGCTATCTATTCTGAGTTTTTCTAAGCTCTTAACCGTGGATTTAATACTGGTTCACTTAGAGAACTAAATTCACTTTATTATTTTATGAGGGTGTTCCCCTCAGCAACTGCTTTCGCAGACGGTCAGTAAACCAGCCCCCCAGTTTTTGTTCAGTGCACTACACTGTTTTAGCAGCTTTAGGTTTTGTTAAAGAGTGACCAAACTAATGTGTTCCATGCTATGCAACAACCTGCACAGCATTCATCTCGAAAAAAGTGGCATGAATAGAAGTCAATGAACGGAAACGAATGTGTTCTTGTCATTCATTTACCGGTTTTATTCCAACTGAATGGGAATCAGCCATTGGCAGTAGAAGGCATTAGCCTATGAAACCTTTACCAGCTCCCTGCTGATTTCTTCCTCATTCATCCTCACTGCCGTAGGGTGACATCCAGCCAGGTTACAGCTGTGTGCTTTTTAGAATGACAAAGAGAAAGCCATGACCACTTAGAAGCAGTTTCTGAAAGCCATGAACTGTGTGTTTGTTACAGAGCCTCACTGCTGGCCTCATTGCATCAGCTCCCTTTTCATCTGGTTTCAGGTTGTAGTGGTGGCCTCTCGGGGGAATGAGAGAAGCCTTGTGAATATTTGGTGAAGCAGCAGTGGCGCCCAGTCTCCTGAGCCTTCCCCTCTGCTTTCATCCTCTCCAGCGTGGCAGAACGAGATGGGGAACGGATTATCGGAGCCCCACACCGTCTTCCCCTGTTTGCCATCTTTCCAGGCCCTGCACATTGTTATTCTAGGGCTGGACTGCGCTGGCAAGACCACTGTATTGTACAGGCTGCGCTTCAATGAGTTTGTGAACACCGTCCCAACCAAGGGCTTCAACACGGAGAAGATCAAAGTGGCGCTGGGCGGTAAAGGCCGGACTGCGGCCTTCCACTTTTGGGACGTTGGGGGTCAGGAGAAGCTGCGGCCGCTGTGGCGGTCCTACACGCGCTGCGCGGACGGCCTGGTGTTTGTGGTGGACTCTGTGGACACCGAGCGCATGGAGGAGGCCAAAACGGAGCTGCATAAGATCACGCGGCTGCAGGAGAACCAGGGCGTGCCCGTGTTGGTGGTGGCCAACAAACAGGACCTCCGCAGCGCTCTTCCGCTTGGCGAGGTAGAGAGGTTGCTGGCACTAAATGAGCTCAGTGCCCACACACCCTGGCATCTCCAGCCCGCATGTGCCATCATCGGAGAGGGCCTGCAGGAGGGCCTGGAGCGCCTCCATGGCATGATCGCCAAGCGGCGGAAGATGATGAGGCAGCAGAAAAGGAAGAGATAACTGTCGCATGGGTGGTGTGCATGTCTGAATGAGAGAGAGAGAGGGAGAGGGGGTTAGCAGGGTCCTCTCACGCCTCTGGGCTGGGTCTGCTGATGACACGGGCCGCTAGGCCTGCATGACTGTGCACTGGTGGATTGATTTATGCCGGCTGAGTTTTATCAGTCTGACGGGGCTGGATGAATACAGTTCAAAGATACTGGACAGTATGTTCATCAACAAGCGAACACTATCGATTTGTCACTCTGGTAATGGAGGGTAAAAGTCCTGGGACTGTGCGGGTGACGTCATTGGACATACACGTATAGAAAACATCACGCTACTTCAGTGGACTTCATTGAATTCTTATGAAGGTAAACACTGGACAGAAACCCATCGAAGAGGGATCACTGAAGGCTAATTTGCTGTCTTTTGACCTCCAGGGTTAAACATTTTCTATTATCCATTCAAAAACAGTGTAAACTAATGAAGTGAAAGGATGGATTACCAAAGCCCCCGTTCCGCTTCTGTAAGTGTTCTGAAATATCAGTTGTACACGTTCAGGTGATCTGTCACTCTTGTTTCTGAGATAAAAATGGGCCTTTTCCCCAAGTCTTTATAGTACCATTGTTGCACAACAGAGGTGTGGTTATAAGGAGAACCAGTATAAGCTTTATGAATCACTAGTTTGGGAACACACAGATGTTTTTAATTTTCAGAGAACAAGGTGTTTCACCAGCCAAAACACCTACAGTCCTGCGCATGGCAGCGAAAGTGCCAGTGAGGGCAGATAAGCAAGCACAGGTTGGGGTGTCTAGGCTAATGACTCAGCTCAGCAGGACTTCTCCCAGGATCCTGAAGTTTCTCTGTCCTACAAACAAGTGGGTGTCATTTGTAGTTCTATACACAATGTGTGCTTCCCTGTACAATATGCACTTTAGCAATCCTTTTTTGTAGTCTATAAACTTGTAACATTCAGATTTTTGTATGGAACTTATGAGTGGCAAGAAAAGATGTGACATATTGCTTCAAATGAAGCGTTTTATAAGTCCTATGTTGTTCCACATTCAAGTGTGTGTTTTTGTCACTCGCTATGTGTATGATGGAGGGGTGTTCATATTTATGTGTCAAAATTTATACACCTTGAATAAAACAACAGCTATATTCAACAAAATGGAATGTTTTGAGTTCTTTTGACCGTGCATTGTGTGCACCAACTTCCTCTGTAGGGCCAAACCATATCGGCAGAACACACTGATAGGGCATTTATGATCCCATTTCCTAATCTGATAATGACTGGAGGCACTGGGCTGGTGACTCATTGAACATTGGCCTTTTCCTCTGTGTTGTGGAGGTATGGCACAGTGCCTTGTTTTAAAACAAATGATATAGCAAACTGAATTGCATGGGCTCCATCCCAGGCATGTGATGCAACACTGTGTACTTTTACCCCTCACTGCTTTTGTTTCTATGCCTTCACTCTAAAGTACGTAAGCTCATGTATTTTTGTGAATATATGGATGTATATCAGAGACCACCCTTGATGTACTTCATTTTCAGTCAACATGGCTATTCAAAGCAGTATCGGGGGAAAAATAAAATAGGAAACATACTGTATATTTAACAGAGTTATACAGAAGACTCAGCAACTAAATATATCACTTTTTCAATATTAAGTATGTCAACCATTGCCTCCTTTTTCCATTCTTTTCAGTAGACTTGCTGCAGGAATATGTTTCTATACTGTAACCAAAGTTCAGTCTAAGAAGTTGGTTGTATTTTCTGCCTCCCATGATCCAAGTAATCCCAATTACAAGTTTAGACTCCTCAATCCATAAAGCCTTACTCTGCATCTCAAATGTACAGTTCTGGTGTTCTTGCACATTTTTATTTCCTTTCATCAGTAACAGCTTAACAGCCACACATCCTTTCAGACCCATCAGATCTGAAGAAAGAGTGGAGCTTGATATTCTGCTGTCTCTCGCAGATGAAAGCTTTAAGTACTGTTTATCTGATGGTCACAGTTTTGGTGATCTACCAGGTCTTGCACGGTTATTAGGAGTCCCATTTTCTCTCTATCATCTTATCATTTCCAGAATCAGAAGTTTCAGAGTTTGAGAAACTCCCTTTTCCCCCCACTTATTTTCATTTGACTTTCCTGCTCCTTTTGTAACTGGATTATTTTATGGCTAATCTCTTTAGAAATATCTCTTGAAAAAATGAATAACTTGTACTTTATTGCTATTATGACTGGAAGTTAAATAAAAGAGTGGTCTCTGACTTTTGCACTGTATGAGCGTATATGAAATACATATGTTGTGTGCAAAAGTTTGAATACAGGAAACAAATATGGCATTTTGTTCTTCATATTTTAGTGCACACTTACTATTTATTCGTCTAGAGTTTAACATGTTGAGGAAAAAAATAAAACATAAAATATAGAATGTGCCATTACTTTTGCACAGGTCCCCCCAGCCGCCAAAAAAGTAAATTCAGTGAATAAACAGTAATTGTGCATTAAAATGTGCAGAAATGTGCTCTCTGTAGGGAACGTGTTAACTAATTTTCGCTTTGTAAATCAACTAAACATATCATTTACCAAGTGTGCCCAGACTTTTGCTTATGACTATATATGCACACGTTTACATCTAGCAGCTAGTTTAAGTGAAAACAGAGCTTGATGAATATTAAAAAAGTGAATTAATGAGCTGAGTTAAAAATTCTGCTATAGCTCTCACCATATATACTCTGTTCCATAACATATGTTATTCATATGCATGAAGCACATATGTTCTGAATTAGGTCATTTTACATAACTCCTCAGGAACACTCATATTTTCACTCCTGCTGTGCTTTGCGACTCTTTAATTCTGACAACAAAGCAAAACATAAAACTGCTCAAAAGCACAAGGTGTACAGGTACGGTACAGTCTAAATTAATGAAATACTTGTAGAGCTCTTCACTTTCGGTCCTGGGAAAACATGAAGAACTGTAATAAACAATGCAATCTGAAGCCTATCAGGGTCTGATCCTGGGTGCTTTAGGCGGAAGCCCCCACAGGGCCGTGTGTTGTGTTTGGAAAGGGTCTGGCACAGCCGGTCCTAGGACAAGCACAGCTTCTCTTTGAACAACGATGTGCTAACAGAGGAGGCCTTTCCAGCAGCGGACCCATTAGAAAAAGGCCTTTGCTGGACTTGTTTACCCTGTTCAGTGTGTTTATGGAAGAAGAAAAAAAATTTTACTGACAAAAGAAAGGGAAGACATGAGGTCATATAGCACCTGTAGGCCAGCTAGATCCCCGGGCTACAGAGATAATGGAAGTGGAATTAGCGTGCTTCTAATTGTGGTATGGTTTAGGAAATATGCAAACGGATTTCCTCTACGGGAGATGCTGAAGCGTACACCGCAGAAAACACAAGTCCTGTTTGGCACCGCTACACGTAGACCTTACAAGCGCTTCAAAGAGAATCCCTAATGCAGCATCTTTGCATTTTGTAGGGCAACAACGTCAAGGCTCGGTAACGAAGTGTGGATGGCTTCGGGGCTTCGGAGAGAGCAATGTGATCTGACTGTTTGACTGTGAGCTTTGATTTATTTTGAAAACAGCACTGGAAAATTACACCTGACAACCTGCACTTCACATGCGATGTAGATTTGCTGAGGAATTTTAATGAATCAGAACCTACCATGTCCTTGTGTTTTCATGAAAATAAAGGCCCCATGTATTAGTGCCATGTCTGCGGGAAGCTGGCCGTGTGCCCAGTGCCCAGTGGTTTGTTCCATTAACGTAAGGTCTGAGTAGTTCCCATGACTAGGAGGGAAGGAAAACAAGCCTGGTTTATCAGGCCCTCGCTAAGGCTAATAGGTTAGCTGTACCCATACACCCACAACAACCCCCCTGGCCTTTCCTGTACCAGTGTGAGCCCTGACCTGGACCTGGCCTTTCCTTGTGATCTTGTGATGTAATTAAGCGAGGATTAAAGGTCTTTGTGTGGGACAGTGGAGTTTAGTCTGCAGAGAACACTTCCTGTTCCTCCTTGTCCCACCCCAGAACATGCTGTCTCAGGCTGTGCCCTGCTACACCACCTCCACCTTCACTCCACACCGCTCTGCCTTTTGCATGGCACTTCGCTACTTCATCTGGTCATAAAAGGGCCTTTCAAACACGTCAAAAGGCTGCTCACTGTCATAAAGTGCCCTCCACACTGTCATTAAGGCCTTTCTAGAGGAATGTAGGGCGGATCTGCTATGTTAACCTTTTTTTTTCACCGTAGATGCTGAGTGCAATTACTAGTGCCTACGATGCACAGCTAGGCAATGAAGTTGGTGTTTAATTTGGCCAGCGCATTCAGAGGAGCCTCTTTGGGGTTTGTTTCCTCCACTTTACTGGCTACATGTTGTTTTGATCAGTGGGTTGTATAGGAAGATATACATGAAGTAGGAAGTATGGAGCCTGTCTGTCTGAAGAGGCATGAGACAAACAGTCTCCATGCTTTGTGACCAGGATAGGAACATTTCCTGATTTGGGATGATAATAGTAACAATAATAATAATAATAATAATAATAATAATAATAAATAGGCCTCCTTCACCAATATCTTCTAAAGTTTTTTCTTAAATCTTTTTTTTTAGAAAAAGTCTATGTCAGAGTCATGACAAGTCCTTAATCCACAGAATTGTTCACCCCTTTGTGCTCTTGAGTGAGCGTAGATTCCGTTCTTACCTAAGAATAAATCCCAAATTAGAAAAAACTGGTAAATTTCACTATCTTCATAAAAATGTGTGAGTGGGTTTTAAGAAGAAAATTCTTCTTAAGAACAGTTGGTGAATGAGGCACAATGTTATTTATTTTGCACTATTCATACCTTGAAATGCAGCTAAAAGCTTTATAATAGATAGATAGATAGAAAGATAACAGCATAGGAGAATGAGAAGATAAAGACAATAAAAGTATTGAACAAGGAAGGAAATAAATATGTACTAAAAAAGTACAAAATAAAAATATTAGGGTAAATATTGCTAAAGTCAGACACTTATTCTACTTTCTCCATCTATTTTACCATGACCCCCATGTCATATAGTTTAACCAGACCCCTTTCTACAAATCTTAAAGGGCCTATATCGTCAAAAGAGTGTTTTTTCTTCACACTGTTAAAGTTTTAAAATGTACCATTCACTTCCCAGTCCATATATGGAAACTTTGCTGCAAAAACAGCCTCCTATGGATTAACTGTTCCTGTGATGTCATGAGAACTCTTTTGCATCTATTTGCCTATTCGATCTGCAGCGATTTAATTTCCCCCATTCATATTGAAGTTATAAGTAGTGTTTCAGCTCTGAGAGCTTTCTGAATGAGGCTGATCAGCCAATCAGTACATAGTTAATTTACCTTATTTCAGTCACAGTATCAAAATCAGCCTGTTTAATTTTAAAGCATAAAAAGAGGTTGGAAAATGGACATGTGAAAATGAATTATGATCATTTTTGCCACACAAATGTTATGAGTGGATCTCAAGGGGAAAAAATAAAATGCAAGAAAAATGTAGGATATGGCCCTTTTAAGTCTCCTTCACGAAATACAAAACACAGGCAGAATGGCCCTTCCTAGAACCTCTGCTGAAGAACCCTGGATTTTTTCATGTGTTAAAGTGTGACATTTTTATTTTTTTACTCCAAGAAAAAGACATAAGCTTCTACTTACTGATTCATTTTGCCTGTAATATGCAAGAACTTTATTTTTATGACTGATATCTGGGTGAAATTCTCAAACCAAAACTGTTATTTGTGTTATAAAAATCCAACACAAACTCCTGGATCTCCTTCCAGTTGGGTGAAAAACCTCTGGCCAATACCTACTATTAATAGTTGTATCTATTGTTGGCAGATAAATAAATAAATAAACAGTGAACAGAGCAGTATTCACCCATAAGCCCACTGAGTGCGGTTGTTATAACTCAATGTTACTGGTAAAGAAATACAGAAGAAAAATCTCTTACAGTAGAAACATTAAAAATTATTTAAAAAGCTTCTCTGCTGTATTTTTATATCCCTCTTCCATATATGTGACATTTACAAAGTCTAATCCATCTAACATTTACAAAGACTAATTTTACTTCTTTGTAACCCTACAAACCTCTTTGGTGGAAATGTCTAATTGTACTCAACGTGTGGAA